TATTTTATTATAATTTATATAGTTAATTAATAATAATAATATTTATAGCTTTTTTTTACGCTGGTGGCCACGGAGAACCCGGCGTCTATCTCGTTTTCCGTTCGGTTTTGTGGATTATAAGGAGAAAGACAAGGAAGCGGGAATCCGTGGTGTCGACCTGAAGAATCAAGATTGATTAACCGCTATCAAAGTTGATTTTCAAATAGCCAACGGGCCACAGGTAGACGGGATAGTCGGGGACAGGGAGACTCGGGGAGACGCAGGATTTTGGCCTAAATAGACATATTTACACGAAAGGCCGAAAGGACAATTTCTTTTCTCGCGCGATAAGCGTATATTCCGAGAGGTAATTTCGTTGATTTCGACTTTAACTTGAATTTCGAGAGTAGTGGAGAATTTGCAAACGGGATCAGGGATGAACGCCGCGTTTGCGGACCACCGTTCCTACAAAAGATTGTTTTTTTTTTTTTCATACCCATTCACGAAGAATTTGTTATCCTAATATTTAGTTCTATAAAGCGCTACTATTCTAAAATTTAATGCAATTTGTGTCAGTTTTTCGTGTATGTCTTGTGTGTATGTACGCGTGTGAGTTCACGTGTGTACGTTTGTATACGAGTGTATGTTTGTTTGTATCATTTGTTGTACGTGTTATATAATTTGTGTAAGATCTGCACTCTTCTTCGAATTAAAAAATTACCACTTCAAGACATGACGCGTAGGCGCTACGTTCGACATTAAATAAATATATAATCAATGAAAAAATATATCATTAAAAAGTAGGTACAAATAGGGGGCAGGGAGTTTGGTATTGTTCTTTCGACGAATCATAATACAATTGTGTAAATAATTTCTTTCGCGTCCATACCCTGCACACTCCACAGCTCCCGCCAATCCGTCTTCTTATATGACTTTCGCGTTATTATTATTTCAAAAAACATTACGTTAAAAATTTCCATATTATAAATCTAGAATACGTAACGTAACGTTCGCACCCGGTGATGCTACACCCACGAACTCTCCACACCATCGATTTTCTTTCGATAGCACAATATATATCCCGAATATAAAATTAAATTGTGTAATTTAGAACATGCATATACATATTATGTATATATATTTGTTTTGTATTTAAATAGACTTTTTTCTTTTGTTTTTACCACATGACTAACTTCGTCTTCGAAACTTCTTCCTTGTTCTCTTCCTCACACATGTGTACATACACTTCATTATCTCAAAACCTTTCTCACTCGTTCTCTTTCGTTCCCTTATTTCAATGTTATGCGTTTCCTAGCAAGTTTTATAATAATTACAATTGAACATCTCTCCGAATTCGTATTAACCAACAAATGCCTCACGTAACTGAAACATCTGTAAAATATGAGATCATGTCTGCCAAGGGACACGCTTTCACATTTTTCGGTGCGCGTTACAATACCACGAGAATCCGCGAGCGTGTTCCTCGGCCCCCGACGTGGGCGCGCGTCGAGGAGTCCTTACACTAATTGTATTGTATTTCTTAGAGTTATGTAATGCGTTTTTTTTTACTTCACGTTTTGTTTTCTCGCGAACCGCGATGAAAATTTTGCAAACAAGACGCAAGATACTTTCGATACCTCTACCGAGAAACTTACGCTTCATTTCCGTGACTTCTGTCTCGTCGACGAAGCTGCTTCGCTTAATTTTGAATATCTTGGACTCAGAAATAATCGCGAATCTCGATATTATCGTCTCTAAGTAATCTTGCCTGTCACACAGTCTTACAGCTAATGAACGGAACACGCGGACGCTTCATGCACTCTCTCTTCTCCCTTTTGGTCGATTCTCTCTCGTCATTTAAACCTGTCTTTAGTCGTCATTGTTATTATCATCAGGCGACAAAGTCAGTGTGGTAGTAGTTAATCGCGCGGTTGACCTGTCGCACATTCTCTTCAGAGAAACGACTAAACAGAGATGTTCTCTCGGTATGCGCGACGCGCGCCAAAAAGGAAACGAAGTACAAAGGACAGGAAGGAGGGGGAGATCACGCGCCAATTTCTTTCTTTTTCTCTCGTGTACACACACACACACACACACACACACACACACACACACACACACACACACACACACACACACACACACACACACACACACACACACACACACACACACACACACACACACACACACACACACACACTA